AACCTCTGCCTCCTGGGTTCAAATGATTCTCCTGCCTCAACCTCCCAAGCAGCTGGGATTACAGGTGCACACCATCACTCCTGGTTAGTTTTTTTGTATTTTTAGTAGAGATGGGGTTTCACCATGTTGGCCAGGCTGGTCTCAAACTCCTGGGCTCAAATGATCTGCCCGCCTCAGCCCCTCAAAGTGCTGGGATTACAGGTGTGAGCCTAGGCATTTAAAATTAATTATGGGTTAATTTTATAATAACTTTGAGAGGTTTAGGTTGATAGTCTTTTTTTTTTTTTTTTTCCAGCACCATTGTTGAAAAGACTTACCTTTAAGTGGTCTTCTCCCATCAATTAAGAAAACAGACTGTTTTCCATAAGAAGTTGAAACGGTAGAAACCTAAAAAAAAAAAAGCATATGGAAGGTGGGAGGATCAGAGAGATGGTCCATATACCAAATAATTCACATGCTGCTTGAAATGAGAGGTGGTCAAGAGGGCCTACGTCGCCTAGGACATTACAGAAATCGAGTGGAGGCTTTGGGTGGTCCACAAGTCATGAAATGAAGAGAGGGATGTTGAGACAACCTTAGGCAGATCTTCAGGGGAAGAGTGAGCCTTCCTGATGTCCCCGTACCGGCAGCAGCGAGGTACATGACTTCCCCAGGCTCTGGCTCCTTGGGGTGGTGGGGTGAAGTGGATGCTGCAGCGTGGGCTGGAAGCCAGAGTGACTCATCTGCCCAGGGTGAGCATCTGGGGCGAATGTTGTTTTGTTTGCTCTCACAATGAACCCCATTACAATAACAGCACCGAGGTGTCCCAGTGCTTTGACTGTTCTCTCCCTGGGCTCCTAATGGAGATTGACAGAATCTAGAGTCCCGGGTAATGCTATTGTCAGTTTCAGCAGAGTCCTGCACCTCATTAGACAAAAGCAGAGAGAAATGAGCAAAGAAGGAATGTCAGCCTCAGAACAGAGGGGGCCTGCTGGAGTAAGCAGCTTTCAGGAGATGACAAGGTAATGAGGAAATTATCTGGGCTCTCCAACCGGCCCCTCTAGGCTCTGGGTGGGAAACTGGGATGTCTGTATCACAGCGCTGCAGAGCACAGCCAGCATGAACGGTTCAGTTTCAACTGCAGTCCCTTTTCCTTGAGGGACTGAATGAGGCGGGGCTAAGACAGAAATCTTTTGTGTTGTCAGCCTTTGCGTTACAGGTGTGTCCTGGTGGTGGGGCCTAGTAGGGGAGGTGTTTCTGGGTGGCTTGGGTTTGAGTGGCAAGTGGATGGTGTCGGGGTCAAAGCCGTATTTGATTGATCTAGACCTTTAGGATTTCACTCAGGATGGATGAATTGTATCCAATTTATAGGGACAGAGAATCCTAGGCTCGTAGGAAAGCCAGAATCCATCATTGTCGCACACTACATCCTGTCCCCAGCCTTGGTCAGAAGCACACATAGATTAACATAGATAAACACATAACATACTTACCTTAGTGTGTTCAGGCTGCTATAGCAAAAATACCTTAGACTGGGTAACTTATAAACAACAGAAATGTCTCTCTCATCGTTCCAGAGGTTGGGAAAGCCAAGACCAAGGCACAGGCAGGTTTTTGTTTGTTTGTTTGTTTGTTTTTTTGAGACGGAGTTTCACTCTTGTTACCCAGGCTGGAGTGCAATGGCGCGATCTCGGCTCACCGCAACCTCCGCCTCCTGGGTTCAGGCAATTCTCCTGTCTCAGCCTCCTGAGTAGCTGGGATTACAGGCAGGCGCCACCAGGCCCAGCCAATTTTTTGTATTTTTTTAGTAGAGATGGGGTTTCACCATGTTGACCAGGATGGTCTCGATCTCCTGACCTCGTGATCCACCTGCCTCGGCCTCCCAAAGTGCTGGGATTACAGGCGTGAGCCACCGCGCCCTGCCCTGGCACAGGCAGGTTTGATGTCAGGTGAGGACGTGGCTTCCAAGACGGTAGCTTCTTGCTCATGTGTTGTAAGGGGCAAGGTAGCTCCTCTCAATCCTTTTTATAAGGGTGTCAATCTCATCCAGGAGAGCACAGCCCTCATGACTTAATTACTTCCCCAAAGTCCCCACCCCTTAATACAGGACATTGGGTAGTATGTTCCAACATGAATTTTGAGGGGACACAACATTCAGACCATAGCAAAACCCAACACTTAGGTATATAAACTCAGGTACAGACACAGCAGTAAGGCATCTATTCATCCTATTTTTATTATTTATTTTTTTGAGACAAGGTATCACTCTTTCAACTCAGGCTGGAGTGCAGTGGCATGATTATGGCTCACTCCAGTTTGAACCTTGGGCTCAAGCAATCTTCCTGTAATATTGGGGTTCAGGGTACCCTCAGCTCCCCTGAGAGAACGTTTCTCCAGGTTCTTGGTCTCCTGCCCTCTCGAGAATGAGAGAGGTGATCACAGCGCAGTGTGCAGTAAATGCCAGACTCAAAAGTGTTTGTAGAAAGTGATTTATTTAAAGAGAGAAAAAGGAGAAGGAGGGAGAAACAGCTAACTCTCTCACTGAGTGAGAAAGAAAAGCCGCTCTCACGCTGAGTGAGCAGGGTTCCCAGAGGGGCAAAACCAGAGAAGGAAAGCTCCTCTCACACTGAGTGAGAGAGTCCAGAAAGGTGGACTCCAGGAGAGGAAAGCAGCTTCCACACTGAGTGGAAGGGAATAGAGAGAGATGAGTTTAGGAGGGGAAGACAGACTTCCATGAGAGAGTGTGGAAGGGGACTCCAGAGGGAAATCAGGATAGAGAAAAACAGCTTCCACGAGGGCGTTCACGGAAGGGGACCCAAACATGGAGTCCAAACGGGTGTGAAAGAAGGGGACTTAACCTGGGAGGAAGCCCCACCTTCTCTAAGACCCAAGGCCAATGAAAGGAGTTCCTTAGAACTTCCGCTGGAGTGATTGACTCTTGGTTTCTTCGCGCGACCGCAAAATTCAAACATAAACTGTTAAATCTCCCGGATGGAGAGAGATGGGAGTGGGGCATGGTGCTGGGAGGTTCTTGCCCTTGAAACTACATCCCCTTGTGGACCCGGAAAAAGAGCATATTCCCTTACTCCTACATCAGCCTCCCAAGTAGCTGGGACTATAGGCATATGCCACCACACAGCTAATTTTTAAAATTTATTTAGAGACAGGGTCTTGCTATGTTGCCCAGGGTGGACCCAAACTCTTGACCTCAAGTAATCCTCCCACCTTGGCCTCCCAAAGTGCTGGGATTACAGGCATGAGCCACTGAGCCTGGTCCTCGGAGATCATTTCAAACACACAGAACAAAAGACCAGACTTGTGCCAGTTACACATACAGGCAACACACACAGGTCCATGCTGAAGGAATTTGGCTACAGAGTTTTTGTCTGTGGCTTATGACATCACCCCCTTTGCTTTCTATTTACATCTTGGATGTACACCACTCTCAGACACATTCACACCCACCCACCATTCTCACAGCACACAGCACGTACTCAAAACACCCAAGCTACAAACATATTCACATAGGCACACTCTGAGGTCACATTTGCCCAAAAAACCATGCCTCTTCTATTTTCACCATGTGTGAAAGCTCTTGACCAGTTGTAACCATTCGCATGCCTGTCCGTTCTGTCTCCGGCATACACTTGCAATAGGCCGAGCCCGTGTCTGCACAGACTAGCAGAGCAGAGAGTGCTTTCCACCTTCTTCCTGTCATTGACATGCAACACCTGTCCTGTCTTTAGTTTTTTGCACTCTGGCTTCGACTGGATTGAACGCCAGTCTGCCTGGCACAGAGCCCAGTGTAGCAGCCCAGAAGCAATTGTCCTGTGGGCATGAGCCTCCAAGAGCCCTGAATGGGTGCATGCCAACTCTGGAAGCACCATCAAGGAAAGAGGCCTCCTCTGTAGTGACCCTCACTCCTCATCAGTGCTCTGGAGGGCCGTGGGATGAGTCAGCACATGGCAACCTCTTTTCATTCCTGCCTTTCTTCTCAAAATTCTGGTCATTTGGGTGTTCATGGCCTTTGCCAAACAGAATGAGTAAGACTTGAAAGAGATACTAGCTTAGAAAATCCACCGTTAGAGTCTGGATCATTGAATCTTCTGTTAGTCTTTGCTTGTGCATTACTGTAGCCTCATATCTAGAATAAGTCTAGAACAATACACCTTAACCCAATAAATGCAAGTGCATGTCAGCCTGTGAAATAGGACTAGCCCTGCTTTGTCTCTCAAGGCTATCTATAAATCATAAGGAGAAATGCAAAAACCAGATGAGGAATTTTTGTTGTTATTGTGATCGACACCAGGTAGGTAAATCATTTTCTTCCCTACTTCCCACCTTTCTGTCCCTCCCTGCTCCCAGCACTTTGAACTAGCTGTCACTGAAGTAATGATGCTAGTTACCATTACTAATTACCATTATTGAGTACCTGTTCTGCTCCAGGTACTATACTAAGCACTTTACAAATACCTCATTCTATCCTCACAACATCCTTGTTAAGTAAATATGACTGTCTGTATTTTACAGTCTGGGAATTTGAGGTTTTGAGGGGCTGAGCACCAAAACCACACAGCTAATAGACAGCAGAGAGAAGATTTGAACTCAGGTCTTTGGTTCTCAAACCCAAGTCATCCTCATTCCATCAAGCTTACTTTTATCATCTCCAGCTATAGAATGTAAATTCTATCTCTATATCTATTGTTTAAGCTTAAACCCCCTTTTCTATGTCCATCTCAATTTTAAACTGTAAACCAGACTATAAATAGCAGGAACTATGTTTATTGAAGTCATTTCATAGTGTTCAGCATACTTTCAGGAATACAGGAATATATGTATATGTGTGTATATATATATATATATATATATATATATATATATGTATAGTTTACTTTATTTTTTATTTTTTTTTCATTCTTGACCAAGCCACTTTAATTTGTAACTTTAATGTACAATATGAAGTCAATAATCCTTGAAATCTTCACCTGGATCTTGTAAAGAGTGAGTCTGAGTCTTCGTCATCAGGAGGGATACCCTATTCTTCATCTGTCCACTGGGAAGGATCAGGATACGGAAAGTGACCCAGCACGGCTTCTGAGTCATGCCAGAAATGCCACAGAATCCAGAACCATATGGTTGCACTTAAGGTCTCGCCCCAGATCACCTGGGTTCTGGTCAGCTGGGGGAACTCTCTGTATCGGGGCTCCATGTGCACATCACCACCAGCATGACGGACACCACCGTCTCCAGCAGTCCATGCACGGCCACTTCTGAAAAGGCGGCCACTAATGGCAGCGAAAGACGCCAGCCGAGTTAGAGCCGACATGCTCGCCTGCGTCCACCCAGTCGTCCCCGGCCACACCCTATATAGTTTACTTTAAAAAAGAAAAAGTAATGGCTCCATGAATTTCACTTTGTGTCGGAAGCTAAGAGACTAAGTTCTAGCTTTTTTCTTGAAAAGAACAAACTGCAAAGAGACGCGTTCTGAAGGAAAAATAAACTGCTTTTCACTATAGTATACTTCTGTGACCAGACGCATGGGGGTTTTCCCCTACACACCAAGAAATTATCCAGCAGAAACCCACTGGGTGTTCTATAATTCGGTTCCATTCTGACACCATGTACCTGCAGTGAGAGGCAGATCCCACAGCTGAGGGCTCAGTCCCAGAAGACCGTTCCCAGTTCAGGTGCCAATTGCAAGACCAAGGCTGTGACCTGCGCTTTTGACCAACCAACTATAAACCAGGGTTCCCATGACCCCCTCCCTGGGTTCAATGAATTTGCTAGAGCAGCTCACAGAACTCAGAGATAACACTTCCTTTACATGTACCAGTCTCTTGTAAAGGGTATGATAAAGGGTACAGATGAGCAGCCAGATGGAAGAGACGCACAGGGCAAGGCATGTGGGAAGGGGCGCAGCTGCCATGTGCTCTCCGGAAGAGCCACCCTCCAAGCACCTCCACAGATTCAGCTGTCTGGAGGCTCCTGAACCAACTTTTCTTTGTTTTTTACGGAAGTTTTATGATATAGGCATGTTTGATTACATCATCGCCCATAAGGGATCAACTCAACCTTCAGCCCCTCTCTGCTCTCCAGAGGTTCTAATCATACCATAGTCTTTCTGGTGACCAGCCCCACTCCATTCTGAAACCATCTAGGACTCAGCCACCAGTTTCCTTTTTAGCATCCAAAAGAAACTCTTTAGTCAGAGATTACAAGAGTTTTAGGAGCTGTATGCCAGGAATCAGGGACAGAGACCAAATAGATATTTCTTATCACAACAGGATAAAACACCAGGATTTGTATCCAACACCATCACCTATTAGCAACGTAAATTTTCTCTTTCTGGCCTCAGTTTACACATTTGTAAAATGAAGTTCTGGATATGATGACCTCTTGGGTTTCTTCCAAACATGGCTTTCCAAGAGTCTGCTGTTTTCCACGCTCCCAAATGGAAGTGGAGATCTAGAATCATTCCATGTGCTCACAGAGTAGACCACGTCCACAATGCCTTCTGCTCCCTTGCGTGCACTGTCACTGGTGGTCTGCTCCTGAGAGAGTACACAAAATCAGGATGCAAGGTCCTCTCTGGAAGATGAAGACACACTCTGTTCTGGCGTTGGTTCTGCAGAGCTTCCCAGAGCTATAGTCAGTCACTGCACGCCCGTGCCAAATACTTCATGTGCTGAACACTCCCGTGCTCTTAATAAGCTTGTGTTAGGAGTAAAGCCTGGTCCAGGGAGATGATTGAAGGGCTCTGAGAAGAGGGCTGTGGAGGGACAGGATGAGCTGAGGACGTGGTGGACTCTCCTGGATTAACAAAGCCTCCAGATGCCTGTTGACGGAAGGAAGGGAGACAGGTTCTCACTGATACGAAGACAGCAGCAACGCAGGTCCGACTCATGCATCCATTACCTGTCATCAGCAGGTGCTTGGTAAGAGAGTGTCACGGTTCTGGAAGGAGCTAGTCTGGGAGAAGGAGTCATGATGCTAGGCCTGCTGTGAGGCACTGGATGACTCCAGGCGAGTCGTTCACCCCCACCACCTCCCAAACCTTGGTCTTCCCATCTTTATGCAACTAGGTTTTTTTGAGACCTCATTAATCTGGAGGTGAAACCAACAAATGCAGACCATAGACATGGCTACATCAAAGCCTTAGTCCCCAAACACATCTCTTCCAATTCAAAACCTTCTTGGAACACAAGCAGAGCTGACCCTCCTCTTCTTCTGCATCCCATGATGTCCACCTCCTGCCCTCTGTCATTCTTCACTCTCTGCTCTACTTGCCTTCTGTCTCCCTTGTGAATCTCTTGTAAATGGAAGTCCTGGTCCCAGCAGCGTGGTGGTAAATGTTTGACAAACAGCTTTGAGATTAGGGGGAATGCCTGATTTGTAGGGCTTACCAACTGCCAATTGTAAATACACCTGCCATGACTAATTTCAAGAAACCAAATATGACATCATTGAAAGCAGGGCCAGGAGAAGAGTCACAGTAGCTCCCCAGTGTATAGTGTTTTCACCATACACACAGAACAGGCGTAAATGACCTCAAGAACACAGATAATAAAATACAGTCAAAAAATTAGGAAAATGCTGTGTTTAAGAACTGGATCATTAAATTCCTGACAAATGCCTGGTCCTCCCTTTTGGATCTTTCCAGATGAGACTGTACCTCCCCAAATTTGCAGGAGTACATGGCTGAGGCCCTTACTGTGGGAAACCTCTCAGGGAAAGTAAGGCATTTACTTCTGCATGCCGTTTGTCTCCCTTTGTTAACTTTTGTTTCTCTTTCTGTTATATAAGACCTTCCTTCTAGGTTCTTCTGCTTTTGTAAGGATGGTATTAAGAGAAATGAGATCAGGGCAGTAGTAACACCTTACATCTTATGGAATCTTCCAGTTTACTAAACCCAAATCTCATTACTTCTCACAGCAATTCTGTGAAGTGAGGTATGCAGAGCAGTGAAGTTTCAGATGAACTATTTCACACCAGGTTGGCAAACTGTTTCTGTTAGGAGGTAGAGGCTGGATGCAGTAGCTCACGCCTGTAATCTCAGCACTTTGGGAGGCTTAAGCAGAAGGATCGCTTGAGCATGAGAGTTCGAGACCAGCCTGGGCAATGTGGCAAAACCCCAACTCTACAAGAAAATACAAAAATTAGCCAGGCACGGTGGTGCACTCCTGTAGTCCTAGCTTCTTGGGAGGCTGAGGTGGGAGGATGGCTGGAGCCCAGCTGATCGAGGCTGCAGTGAGCCAAGATTACATCACTGCACTCCAGCAGAGTGAGACCTTGTCTCAAAAAAAGTTAAAATAAATAAACAAACAAATAAATGGGTACAGATTAAACATTTTAGGCTTTGCAGCCCATAAAGTCTCTGTGGCAAGTTCCTGGCTGTTATTGATTGACAGCTGCCACAGACAATACGCAAACAAATGAGTTTTGCCATTTTCCAGTAAAATTTATTTATGGACTCTGAAATTTGAATTATATATAATTTTCATAACTCACAAAATGTTATTCTTTTTATGTTTTTCCAGTTATTTAAAAATATTTTTAAAAACCCATTAACTCAAGGCCATATAAAAACAAGCCCTAGGTATTTTTCTCCCATGAGCTGTAAGGGGTCCCTGTTGTTCTCAGCTAAGGCTGGAGGCCAAGGTCAGCCCTTGAGGACTGTCATCAGGACTACCTTGCTTTCTTGCCTCAGACAGTGAAAAAACAAAACGGAAAAACAACCCCTAGGCAGAATTTGGCTTACAGGCAACAAAAGAGGAAATTAAGCTTCAAAGAAAACAATGACTTGCTTAGATTATCTAGATTAGCAGAGTTGGTCCTGTGTGGTGCCCAGTCCCCTAAACTTTCCACTAAAACCACCTGCCACAGAGGTGCCCCTCCTGCTCCTTAATCACCTTCTGGGACCTGTAGATGGATTCTCCACTGGGGACCTTCTGTAACCTGCCAAGCGCTTTTGGGTCATTTTCTCTTACTGCCCATTTCTGTCTGTTTTAACTGTGGTGAGCCTTCCCATGCATCAAAGTGAAAAAGAAAAGGCGTTTGAACATGTATAGTCAGGCAATTTGCTCCCCCTCCATTAAAGCAGAGACTGAAGAGTTCAGTCTTTACAACTGTTGATTTTATGATTCTGTTCCATTTTCTCTCAGGTATCCTAAATTTCCACCAAACAGGGACTGCCTGTTTGTTATTCTGTGCCTTTAGATGTCTAGTCCAGCACTCTCCCTGAAGGGCACTTGGGAAAGAACTTAATGACTAATGATTAAGCTTCCCTCCAGCCTGGCATTGTACAAGAGGTGGGTGTGACCCACCTGTGTGATTTATTTCCCTTCAATAGGTTATTACGAAAAGTGTAAAAATTCAGAAGAATTTAAAGAATTGCACAGTGAACACCCATATGCCCACAATCTAGACTCTATAACTAACATTTTGCTATATTTACTTTACCCCAAATCTGTTCCTCTCTCCATCCACCAGTCTTTTCTTATGTTGTTGACACATTTCAAAGTTGCAGGCATCGTTACACTTTAACCTCTAAATACTTCAGAATCATGTTATTAATCAGAGTTCAATATTTGTTTATGCTTCTTCTTATTTATTTTTGGCCTGGTGGACATTTGAAAGACTCTAGAGGCTGCCTCTAGAACACAGCTCCCTGCCTACTCCACCGAACCCTAAAGATTTTATCTGGCTATTTCTTGCATTATAGCCTTTCCAAGGCTTTGACTATCAATGCAAATCCCTTTGGCAGAGATTGCTCATTAAGTCCACCAGTGGTGGCTGGAATAGTGGCCACAGCCTTTAGTCAGGCCTGGATTTGAACCCCTCTCCACTCTGTCACTCATAATCCTGTGCCCTTAGGCAAGTTGTTTTGTTTTGTTATTAATTTCTCCAAGAGTCTTCACATGTAAAGTGTGGCAGATAACTATCTTGTGACAGTAATAGTGAGGACTGCAAATTCTGAACTGCCTGTCAATGGCAGTGCAGTAGAATATGAGACTGGGATAGTAACTGTGTCCATTTTCCTGAGGATAGGCTTGTCACAAAAGAATGAGAGCTGCTTCCAACTTCACTCCAGCTCCATTCAGGGAAGACCATCCTAGCTGCATACTGGATTTAGGCTCTTCTCACGTGGGTGGAGTTAACAGCTTCTCTGGGCTTCCACAGTAATTTAAAAAGACGAAACAAAACAAAGCCCACCTTGCCATGCTGAGGAGAAGCCAGCTCCACAGGAGAGGGGAGGGAGGCTGCTGCTTGACTGGAACTGGGGAGTGGGTTGAATCCTGGGGCAGAATGTGGGGGAGTGAGTGAAGA